TGTGGGAACTTCTGAAAATAAACTTTGTACCAAAAATTTGAAAACAGAAAGAATGGAATAAATGTCTCCTTACTGAGTGTGTGTGGTTTTAAGAGGTGGTGTGGAAACCAGGAACCATGTCTCTATGAAAATGTCACAAACCAGATCTTCTCAAATGTCTGTCTTCCTGTTACACAAAACTGAATTTCACCAATTCCTCAGACGCATTGAATTTGGAGAACTGGCTGGCTGAACAGCCAGCGTGAGGTCAGCTTCACGTGTGAGTCAGTACAGCTGCTCGTTGCTGAACTGTTCTGCTGTGTCAGCAGGCCAGGGACATTCACGTGATTTTTCTCATTAAGGCAGATGCTCTTTGTTATCGCATTTAAAATATTTGGGGTGGGAAGACTAGGAGCGAGTAGGAGCCACCTCCACGCTGAAGTCCCTGTCAGTTGGACGTCATGCTTTGTGGCTGCTTTTACCATGTGCCTTTTCCTCAGAGAAGAAGGGTTCGAGGTGAGCGCTTTCTGTTGCGCTCTGCGTCTCTCTGGCAAGCCTGACTTGCTGTCACTCACAGAAGCTCCCCGCCAGAGGTGGTGCCGCCGTCTTGCATCGGCGTGACTCGTCGCGCCCATCTACTTCAACTGTTATGCTGCAACCAGAGGGGCTTGAGAGCCTGTATTCCCTGCAGGGCCCGGCATCATGCCTACAGACCTATCCCCACCTGAGAAAAAGATGTTTAAGGCAACAGAATCGTTCCTGTGCTGTAGTGTATGTCAGTCCCAAAAAGTGACATCCCTAGCTGAAGTAGTGACCTATGCACAGGCCTGGAGATGAGCGCTGGTAGTCAGTACAGCTTGGTGTTTGGCCAAATAGTTCTACTCAGTTCGGTGAAAAAAAGGGAGGAGGAGAAAAAAAAAAAAAAGAATGCTTATTCAAGAATCCGTCAGCTAATGAGGGAGTTATGAAAAGCCCTGGATTATGCACGCAGTCACCTTTTTTTAAACAGTTACCTTTTTTATTTACAGTGTTATCAGCGATTCCAAAATGCTGCAATTTAGTCGATATTTTCACAAGAGACCAGCTGGCCTTGTGGGTTGTTTCCCCTCTCCCAGCCTTGTCTTCCCAGCCTCTTCTATCTTCCATTTGTTTTCATAACAATACTGTCAACTACTATTTTTAAGAATTTAAAATACCAAGCTGCTTTGTGCACTGCGTTTTTCTCTTTACGCCAGAAAGTCCCCTCTAGAACGATGTTAAATTGCTCCCTGTGGGCCTGGCGTTGCTTTGAAATACTGCTGGTGGTGGTCTTCAGTCTGTTGGATGGTGGTTTCTAACATTTTGGGTTGTGAAATGACTTGTTGCACTTCAAATACTGTAAAATGAAACCTTTGAATATATGTTTCTACTGCTATAATGTTAAGCTATTAGCATTGTGACTAATTCCTCTCCCATGTGTGTTTCTTTACAGGCTCAGTGCTGAGCTGATGTTCATTACCTTAAAATATTTATTTGGTAGAAGAAAGAAAAAAAAGACGGAAAAAGGGAATGAAAGTGTGTGTCGCACCTAGTTGAATTGTGTCTTTGGGTGAAAATAAAGGTCAGTGTTGGCAGTAATTCTCTTCTTAGTGATTTTCAGTTTTCCTAAATGAAAGCCAAATAGGAAAAAACATAATTGCAGTGAAGCCTGTCTTAAGGGACTAACATGGAAGAGGGCCCACAAAATAGCCTCTAATAATGACGTGTTCTGAACCGAAGGAGATGGTACAAATAATACTGCAATTGTAACTGCTCAATCCTGCCGTTTCCAGCAGCTGGCAGAGCCTCCAGGTGAAGTCCAGCTGCAAGGATTTCTGTGCAAGCATCGCACCTGGCACCCACCAAGTGCAGAAACAGAGGCCCACGGAAGCCCTCTGATGGAAGTGGCTCATCATTTTTCTTAGTGACACCACAAAGCTAAAAACTGCATCGCTGATGTATGTTTTGTGGTGTTCTTTGCTCTACATTCATTTCACTTGCAATGATTTGGGGAGGGGAGCAATTGTGGGCAAAGTCCGTTCTTGATTTCTGCATTTTGTTTGCACTTGTTCATTGAGCAGTGCTTTCCCTCTGCTTTGCTTCACGCTTTCTGTGGGCACTGATACTTGTACAAGGCAAATATGAAGCCGTAGAAGCTAAATTTAATAGCAGTTTCCACTGGTCCATTCCAGCAGTGCAGAAGCTGCATGGGAAACAAAGCACTGGAGAGAATCAACAAACAGTTTGGTTTTTTCCCTTTTGGAGGCAGCTTCCCCTGACAGCCTCCATGTGGAAAAGCAGAGCAGGACTGGAAAAGCCCACAAGTTATGAGGGTCACTCAAGGGCAGTCCCGAAGCCCTGGGTATATTTCTTCAGCATAGCGTATTTTTTTCTAATTCTTTAGATTTGTGTCTCTTTGTTCCTGCAAGACAGCAATATTGTAGGAAGTCAGCTCAGTTTAATGGATGTTACTACAATAGAGGTCTACAGCAGCCAAGACTCCTTAAATGGTGTCCTAGAGGAGTTGCCACCAGTGTTACTTAGTCCTGCCCAGTCCCAAAAACTTCGCAGTAGTAAACTTTTAACCTACAGAGGTAACGAATCCACTGTGGTCTCCATGGCCTGGTTTCATCACGAGTAGCAATTAAGCAACAGGCCTAACTGTGGCCAGGGGAAGTTAATGAGTTTTCAGAGACAAACTGATAAAACTGAAAAAAGGGCATAGAAGGAGGCATACAAACTTCACTGTGCCCGACAGCGAGTCTGTTGGGTTTTTTTCCAGTTAGAGCAGTAGATCCGAGCCCTTTACAGTGACTCCTGCATCAGGCTTGTATCCACAGATCATCAAGCTACAGCCTCGGTGCTTGTACTACGCAGCTAAGCGAAGCAGTTCAGACACGTGATTCGCATCAGTACTGGAAATGCGCAGGCTTGCACGGGAAGATCGCTGCTGTAGGATTCTCCCCAGCACCTGATCACCTTCTTTCTTTCCAGAAAGCTTTTTTCCCCTTCTCTTTTCAACAGCATTCTGGTCAAACCCAAGGGCGTGCTCATTCTGTTCATCATTTATCTTACTAGACAGAAAATAGTTGCAAAACCCATTAATAGCCGAACACATCTGTGCGTAGTGCACCCTTTTGGCAATAATGACTTTATTGGGTTTGTGAGGCCTGAGGGGGAAGGATTATGGCCTAGTTAATACGGCTTGCCAGGGGTTTGAAAGGTTGTGCTGTATTAAGGTGGAGCAGGCAAATGCACCATCTTCTGGGGGATGTGTTCTCTCCTGTCTGTCCGAAGGACCCCCAGAAAGCTTTTGGCTTCTGTTAACAGCAAACAATTCTTACACTTTGATTTCTATGATGCAACGACCCTTCACCTCCCCGCTCATTTTTGTTGTGTTGTACTAGAACTGGGGGGTGGCTTGATAATTTACAGAGAAGGTGGATTCCATGGTTTTACTCTTCTGAGAGAGGAGAAAGCAAGAGGAGATTCCCTGCCCGCTGGACTCGGCGCCTGGTTGGAGCAGTGCTGCTGCTCTGCCTGTCCCCACCTCCCCAGTCACCTCTTCATGCCTGGTTTCCTCCTGATGCTGTTCTGCTCAGCCGCTGGCCCCCGTGCTCTCATGTTAACACTGCCCTGGTTTCAACGTAGTCTCCTCCTTCCGTAGTGCGCGAGGGTGCCGGAGCACTTTTCCCCTTCTGGAGGAAGGAGCCATTTTAGTTCCTGTGTTTGCCTTTGCTCAGTCCTGGTTTTACCTTCCTCAAGGACAGATCTGGGTTTAGCAAATGTAGCTTCCTCTTGGTCACATCTGGCTGAGCTGGTTTCTCAGCTAGCTTGAGAAGGATGGAGGTTCATCCCGATCCTACCAGCGCTCCTTTAAAGACGTACTGAGTTCAAATAAAGTATTCTTTTTCTGAAATTTGGGTCAGTGCCTTCTGGGAGCTTTGGCTCAGGGGGCTCAGTCTTTTGCTGCCCTCAGTGTGACCACTTGCTGTTGAAGGAGGATTGCTCTTGAGCTCTGTAGTTGCATCTCAGACCTTCCTAGTAAGATTTGCTAGAGCTCATCTGAGTTTGTCGGAGCTTTAGCTGCAGTTTGTAGTAGTGATAACCCCTGTATGCCCCTGGCCATGAAATGGTGTTATTTGTGTTACCCTCCTGCGGTAGTCATGGACGATATCCCCTTATGTGTGACACCATGCAAAGAGGATGAAAGATGGTCTCTGCTGTAAAGAACTTGCAATCTAAATAAAAGGCAAGAGGCAAGGACACAGGGAGACAATGTCAGCAAATAAAGAGCGGCTCCTCTTTTTGTGAACGTGTTTAGGGAAGAGCCTATGTTATGACCGTCAAAAAAGAAAACTAATCTTCCCTCAAGGTATGAATATTTCACAATGTCTGGAAGAATCCACTTAACGATTCAGGAGCCACCCACCCTTTGAGGAATGCTGCCTGTGCGCCTCACTGCCCTCTTCACTGCAGGCAGCTCTCTTGCTTTGAGGAGGGAACTAGTCTCTCTTCGCTTTCTTCCAAGGGCAACTCCTTTCCAGTATATTTTAATACAGCTATAAACCATGTGAGAGCTGCATTATTCCTTAGCCGACGTGTGTGGGTAGTGCCTACCAAGATAGGGCCCTAGTTGCCGACCGAGGTTTCTTGTTTCTACTGTGTGTGCTTGATGGTCTCTGAAACCTTTGTGGTGTGCGTTCTCCTGGCACAAGAGTGGCTGGGCTGTGGTGAGGACCCGTGGAGGCTATCACAATACAAATAATAACTTCAGTAATTAAAGAAACACTGGGGGAGAATTCTTCTGACTTAATTTTGCCTCAGAGGAGACTGGGAAGCAGGGAGAAGGGCTGTCGGCATCTAGACAAGCTCTGTCTGCTACGCTGCATTTTCTTTTCCTGGCCAAAAGGCTCAAGCAGTAGGGCAGCATGACAAATTCCTGCCTATCGCTTGAGTTGTCTTCACCGCCCAGGCTTTCTCTGGGCTCCCCTGACTGCAAGATGAAGCACGCTAGCCTGCCACCATTCACCGAGGTTGAAGCTGGGTCACAGCACCTCACCGCTGGCGTAACGAGGCGTGCTCGTGTGAACAGCTACAATAGCTTTGCTGATGCACAGGAACTTGCTCAGTGACTGCAACTTACTGGAGCCCATTTGTTTTATTCGTCCGATGTTCATGTGCCGAGCGGGTGGTTTAGGCTGGCGGTGGAGTAAGAACTCGTCTGCCTTAAAGAAGAGATCCATCTACGGCTTCTTTTTATCCCCGAAGCTGCCTACACAGAGCAGCTGCAGCAGCACAGGCGCTTGTAGGGCTCATGTATGTCTGATCCCCCTGAAAGCTGCCTCTTCCAGAGACGTCGTTTTCTCCTGCGTGAAGCCAAGGCTAACGGCACCACGGCAAATCACACCATGCAAACTCAGGCAAACGGCTTTACCTAAGTACAGTGGGAATTTGTATTCTGGCAGCTACGCTGATGACTCGGGTCTTAGGGGAGAAATGGAGAAAATCTCCAGTGCTGACAAGGCACAGGAATTTCCTAAAGTTGCATTTTTTTATTTCTGTAAGTAATAGATGAGGAGCCTTTTAAATGTCTGAGGGGAGGCGGGGGAAGGGGAGAGCCAGGCAAGGGAGGAAGGGAGAGGCAGTATTATGCCCATGACTGATGACTGAAACCACGCAGTCAGCTACTAGGCCCCCTGCGTGGTGCTCAGGAATCGCTGCTCTCCTATCACTGATTTACCAGACAAAGGCATTCTCTGCATTGCAACACAGAGCCTTTGCAGACCACGTTGGTATCCTCAGAGGCAACGACGGCCGAAACCCCCAGCCCTGGAGGACTCCACAATCCAAGCTGGCAGCCAACCGGCTGCTCTGGGATTTGCCCCTGGGAGTGCCTTGCTCTTTATGTGTTTTACTTTGAGCTGGGGCCACATTTCACTTTGATTACTCATGTTGCTTTTTTGGTTTTTCTTCTTTTTTCTTTGCTCTTAATTGTCTTGCTGGATTTTCGTGCTTTGCTTGTTAGACTGGTGTGTTGCAGCGTGACCGGCAGTCCTGGAGGAGCAGGAAAGGAACACATATGTCCAGTGTATGTGAGGAGGAGTGCAGGCGCTGTAACTGTTCAGACACGAATGCTAACCTCCGCAGCCTGCCTCCTGTGTGCGCTGCCTCTGTCCTGCAGGAGCTCGTTGCACTGGTCTGCGTGCAGGAGGAAGCCAGATGGTTTTGCTGCGCACATCCAAGCAGCTCTGACTCTGCTCGCCTACCTTGACACTTGTAACAAGAAGACTGAAGCATGTCGAGCAAACACCTGATTCTCTCCACACGTCCTTCCTAAGCAGTTTCCTATGTTCAGGAGGGCTTATTTGCCAAACAGCAAGTTTAAAAGCAAAAGAAACCTCAATCCCCTTTTATTTTCTGATCGAATCTGCCTGCCAAAGTTGAGTTTCTTCCCAGGGATTTATGCCAGCTGATGCTACATCCAGTCATAGCTCTGCTGGTATGGAAGGATATTTTGAGCATGTATCCACTTAGAAAGAACAAAAAAACCCAAACCCAGAACCTGTATTTTACATGTCCACTAGAAGGAAACCTTTGCAATTATCCATACGAGCAGTGCTTTGGCCTCAAAAGCTGTTCTGGTGTAGACAGGTTCATGAGCCCATTTTTCAGATTAAGGAAGTGCAAGACTTTCTAGCTCACCTTCTCTGAACCTGCATGGTGATTAGATGGGACAAAATGGACCTTCCTGGATGAACGGACTGGCGAGGCAGAGAGAGGAAACAGCACTGCAGTACACTCACAACTCATTCTGTGTACAGTAATATCATGAGGCAGGGTGTACAGCTGGGGTAGCTACAACTTGACCTAGGTGCCGTTAATGATCAACGGTGTGCCTGAGTCTTTACGTCTTGACAAAGCTCTAGGATCAGTCTTTACTTTGACACGTCCCCTTTTCCCATAGCACAGTGCAGGGGGCTTTGGGAAATCTTGTCTTGGAAAGCCTGAGATTTCACAAGTTTTCTCATCTGCTTTGGGGCAGAACCAAAATCAAATGGAAAAGTTACCGAAATACATTCCCACCCACCCCCGCACAGGCACCGGGCCAAGACACTAACAGAACAACTCTACAATTATGCAATTAATTTATCAAAGCATGGGACACTTTGGTTCAAGTATTTGTTACAGGATCTTCCAGCATTTCCACTGCGGTGACTCGTGACCGAACTCCTCGCCAGAGCCGGGCTGGCGCGAGGGCCCTGCTGCCCGTTGGGCAGCGCAGGCCGCACCCGTTTACCACCCATCCAAAACCATCGGGCAAACGCCGGGAAGGAGGATTCACAAGCTGCCCCGAGGCAGGGCCTCCCTCTGCTCTCGCTTTGCGCTTCGCTCGGCGGGCTCCCCCTCGGCCAGGCCAGCGGCGCCCGGGCTGCCACCGCCCCCGTTTCCAGTCAGCGCCCCGGCCTAGCGGCGCTCCCCGCCTGGCGGGG